AGCGCTGTGATGTCCGGAGCCCAGCCAAGGCCCTCAGGGGGGTGTCCGCGGGCTTCCTGGGCCCGGAAAGACAGGGGTCAGGGAGATTTAGATAAAGAGGAAGGTGGGAAAAGCCTGGAGCCAGAGGGTGAGGCTACGGGCGGTGGGCTGGGGGTGCAGGTAGGTGGGCGTGTGCCCCCCAATAGCTAGCCCAGGATGGGTTTGCTGCAGGGCCTCAGACAGCACCCTCTGACTTCAGGGTACTCCAGAGCAGAGGAGCAAACGCGGCCCAGCGAGCTTTGCTGTCCCGGCAAAGTCACACTGGAAGGAACCGCGAGCCGTGGGTGCCCACTGTCCCCGCAGAACTGTGAATAGTGCCCTCCCTGTTCCACTCTCAAAGGCGTCGCGTTCCATAGGAAACGGTCCCCTGGTGACAGGGCCTGCTCTGGGCCGATCATTCTACTGAGGGTCTCTCACTGTATTTGAGGCATTTTATACACGAGGAACCAGCATCTCAGAGGAGCCACATGGCCAAGTCCACTCGGCAAGGAAGCAGCTGCTGGGCCATTCGTTCCTTCCTTCTCTCCTTCATCCAGGGAGTAGGCACTGAGGGGCTGCCACCCAGGAACTGTGGGCACAACAGTGAACAGAGGCAGCAGAACTCCCGGCCTCCCACCACCCTGCTCCACAGAAGCCCCTCCCCCAGTTCCAGGGGGCAGGTCCACTTGGGGGTCCACGCTGCTGACCCACAATGGACAGGGCGCCCCTGGGGCGGCGTGAAGAGGAGCGAAGCTGCACACCCTGAGCTTCTTCCATAGAATTTCTCTGGCTCCTCCCCATCTTCCTGAGGGGACTCCAGGGGAGGAGGCTGAGGCCTGTACATTAAAGGGGGTTGGGAATCCTGCCCTCCCCCTGACCCAGTAGGTCTTGGACGCTTCACTCTGAAACTGATTCTCTCTCTGGATCCCAGGCCCACTCTCCCTCTCTTCTCGACGCTTCTTGACAGGGACACCGCCTCAGGAGGTCCCTGCCTGACTCCCGAGCAGAGCTGAGGGCCTGGAGGCACCCCCAGCCCTCACCGTGCCCCTCTGTGCTCTCACAGGAAATCCAGGCTCAGGCCAGCTCTGCGGGTGGATGAGCAAGTCCCCTCCCAGCTCTGTCCCCAGGGGCTGTCCTCTGTCCCCAGTAAAGCAGGCTCCAGGAGTCGGGGGCTCTAGCGGTCGGTGGCCTGGTCTTTAGACTCTTCTGGTGGCCGACAGAGCCCGGCCTGGAACAACCTCCCCAGGAACTGAGGTACTGGGTGGCACCCCCAGGGCCCTTGGCACTGACCATGCCAGGGTAGGCTCACTGAGGGCACATTGTGTTAGACCACACTGAGAATGTCTGAGTGGGGTGTGCCAGCTCCTGCAGCTCAGGGGGTCCCCTTGCCCTGCATGCCTGCCCCTCCCTTGGGCAGGGCCAAGATCCCAAATCCTAATGCAGGTGGATGAGATGGGTTATTCCAGAAACCCTGAACCTGGAGCTAAGACTGTGGCCTAGACCCAGAAACCCTGAACCTGGAGCTAAGACTGTGGCCTAGACCACAGGATCTCACAGGGTCCGTCCCCACCCCTGCCTGTCCCACCCCTGTCGCCATGGAGAAGCCCCTTGCTTGAGCTTGTGTGTCAGTATCTGCTGTCTGCTGGCCAGGGTCTATGGGGGAACAGAGGCCAGGGCTGTGGGGGACAGAGGCCAGGGGCTGTGGGGGGACAGAGGCCAGTGGGGGGACAGAGGCCAGGGGAACTGAGAAGGGTGTGAGGGTGTGGCTTTGCCCAGCACTCTATCCACAGCCCCTCTTCACTGGGGAGAGAGTCGCACACGAAGTCTAAGGGCCATCCAGGGGCATCTACCCTGTTGCCCCTGTCCCATCAGGCAGGGGCTTCCGTACCCCCTCCTCTGGCCACCCCCCCTTCTCTCCTCTCCCTTCTCTGAGGCCACTACACCTCCCCTGCTTTTCTCTGGGGATCACGCCCTGGTCTGTCTCCATTTCTGCTTCTTGGTGTCTGTCACTCTCTCCCCGTCCTCTCTTTCTCCCTGTCTTTCTCTCTGTGCCTGTCTCTCTTGCTCTCAGCCTCTCTGCCCCTCTCTCCGGCTCTCCGCTCTCCTTCCCAGCCCCCTCTCTGGCCCGCCACTGGGACCAGACCCTCTGAGACACCCCCCCCATCCACACACCCCCACATGTGAAAACCTCCGCTTCCGGATCTGGCGGTTGGGGTGCGAGACAGGATAAAGCACTTCTCCGCCGGTCCGCCTCCGGTGGCCTGCCTGAGACAGCGCCGCGGCTCCAGCAGGGACCCCCGGACGCAGACACCAGCCCGGGGTTCCCCACGCGCGCCCCAGCCCCCCGCCCTCCCCGGCACCGTTCTCCGCGGCCCCTTCATTATGCGCCGCCTCTAATGGGCGTTTGTCAGCGCGACTTCCCCGCAAGTTGTTTTCGCGGACATCAGTCATAGGCGGCGTCCCCATTGTGCCGGGGGATTGATGGGGGGCGGGAGGGGGTGACAGGGCCTGGGGCGGCCGCCTCGAGGCCTCGGTCTATAATTTTCGGAGGCATAATTGGTCTGGGGGAGGGGGCGGGGGAGGGACCTTTCAGAGCCCAGAGGGCGCAGCGGGGGCGCGGGGCGCGCGGCGAAGCGGGAGCCGCGACTCGACGGCGGTGCGCGGGGGGCGAGTGTGCGCGGGCGACGCTGGCCCGAACCCCGCGCCCGCCGGGCTCCCAACCCGGCCCTTCCGGGGCTCGGGCAGAGGACCACGTCGCCCTTTTGTTGACGACC